ATTAGTGGTGGAATTGGCTCCTAAACATTCAAGCAAATACCCCACAATGCCCATGAGTATACCCTTTTAAATATGCATGCAACAGGGCCTGGGCGCTAAAACGTTCACACTGAGCGTTTTAGCGTCCTGGCCTTAAACGTGTAAGAAACTAGACAAGCGTTAAAACGTTGGGTGACCAGCGTTTTAACGTTCTTGCTTTTCTGGGTAAGAAACTGGACAAGCGCTAAAACGTTGGGTGACCAGCGTTTTAGCTTCCTGGATTTTCTGGGTCAGGCATTTTAGCAAACACCCTATGTGCGTGTGTGCAGCAGCAAGTGTTATGCGAATGGGGATTTCTTCCCAACCCAAATATCAGAAAACCCAGAATATCTTTTATCATGAGCACATATTTTCGAGCATAATTACATGAGTAGTTGAAGAAACGAAAAAGGAAATGAGACCTAGATGAAATGGCAACATATGGATGCAACATTAAAACATAAAATGCAAGAACAGTTTGGATAGAGAAAGAAAACGTACCTTTGGTATGAAATGATAGTCTTCGATGCAAACAATGGAACAATGGAAGATTGAGTGTGAGAGAAAGTGAGTGAATACGTTGAGAGAAAATGTTGAGTTGTTAAAGAAAGGAGAGAGAAGGCTCGTATTATTCTGAATTAGTGATGACGCGCTAAAACGGTGAAACCAAGCGTTTTAGCGCCCAGGTCTAGAGAATGTGCACACTTCGTGTGTAGCTCCACGCTAAAACGGTCAACATGGACGTTTTGACGTGATGGACCAGAATGTGTGTAAATGAGTAGTTGGGTGAACGCTAAAACGGTCAGTATGGACGATTTAGCGCTCATGGCCAGAGAGTTTCATAGTGATGCAACTCCTAGACAGATAAAATGTCCAGAACGGAGGTTTTAGCGCCCAGCACTTGTCAAAGTTTTCTCTTAAGATTTTCAAAACTTTTCCCTCCTTCCTTCTTCACTTTACTAATGGGGTATGAACACTGAAATTACATACCTGGTACAGTGGGTTGCCTCCCACTCAGCGCGTGTTTAACGTCACGAGCCTGATGGGTATGATCTATTTTACCTCTAATAAGGCAACTGTCAGAAGTTGCCTATCCACAGCACTTCCAACATATAACTTCAACCTCTGACCATTTAGTGTAAAACTTATGTCTGAATCCAAAGAACTAATTTCCACAGCCCCATAAGGTTTCATGTCTTTCACCACAAAAGGTCCAGACCGTCTAGACTTTAACTTCCCTGGAAATAGCTTCAACCTTGAATTGAACAGAAGAACTTGATCTCCCACCTTAAAATCCCTAAGTGTGATCTTCCTATCATGCTATAACTTTGTCTTCTCTTTATATAGGCTTGCACTGTCATATACAGAGAGACGGAACTCATACAATTCATCCAGGTGTAGTAATCTTTTCTCTCCTGCTCCCTTTGAATCGAAGTTCAGAAACCTCACAGCCCACAATGCCCTGTGCTCCAACCCTACTGGCAAATGGTATGCTTTCCCAAACAACAGTTGAAATGGGGACATTCCAATAGGAGTCTTGAATGTCGTCCGGTACGCCCACAGAGTGTCATCAAGTTTCTTGGACCATTGAGTCCTAGCATTCCCAACAGTCTTCTCCAATATTCTTTTTAACTCCCTGTTGGAAATCTCAACCTGACCACAAGTCTATGGGTGGTACGGAGTACTAATCTTGTGCCTCACCCCATACTTTGCAAGAGCATATTCCACCATCCTATTATCAAAATGAGTTCCCCTATCACTAATTATAGCTCTCGGGACTCCAATTCGCGAAAATATGTTCTTCCTCAGAAAAGCAATCACAACCCTAGAATCATTGGTTGGTGTGGCTATGGCCTCAACCCATTTTGAAACATAATCAACTGCCACCAATATGTACTTATTAGAGTAGGAAGAAGGGAAAGGTCCCATAAAATCCATACCCCAAACATCAAATATCTCCACCTCCTGTATATTGTTCAAGGGCATTTCATGTCTCCTGGAGATATTAACAGTCCTTTGGCAATTGTCACATGCCTCCACATACTTCTTGGCATCCTTGTATAGAGTTGGCCAGTAAAAACCGCTCATCAACACCTTTTCTGCGGTTCTCTCTCCTGCAAAATGTCCACCATAAGCAGAACCATGACAATGCCACAATACATCCTTCTGCTCCTCCTCTGGAATACATCTTCTGATCACACCATCTGAACACCTGTAAAAGAGATATGGCTTATCCCAAATGTATCTCTTCACATCATGTAGAGATTTCTTCCTCTGTTGTCGTGTGAAATCCTTAGGCATCATCCCAGCAGCTTTGTAGTCGGAAAAATCAGCAAACCATGATGGGGTACTGATGGTTAAGACTTTATCCCCCACCATTTCCGTAACAGCACTTATTGCCAGTATCTGTTCATCAGGGAACTCTTCTCTGATCACTACCTTTGATCCTTCTTGAAGCTCTTTCTCTGTAATCCTGGATAAGTGATCAGCCACCAAGTTCTCAACTCCCTTCTTGTCTTTGATCTCCACCTCAAACTCTTGTAATAGTTACATCCAGCGGAGTAACCTGGGCTTTGCATCCCGTTTACTTAACAAATACTTTAAAGCTGCATGGTCAGTATAAACAATAACTTTTGATCCTAGCAGATATGGCCTGAATTTGTCAAATGCATACACAATAGCCAGTAATTCCTTTTCTGTAGTAGCATAATTCTTTTGTGCACTATTTAGGATTTTACTGACATAGTAAATGACATGCAATAATTTATTCACTCTTTGGCCTAGTACCACTCCTACAGCATAATCACTGGCATCACACATTAATTCAAATGGCAATGAAAAATCAGGTGCCATCATGATAGGTGCAGTGATCAACTTCTCTTTCAAAATATGAAATGCATGTAGACATTCATCATCAAACATAAACTCTTGGTCTTTGACCAACAACTTGCATAAAAAGCTCTGCAATTTTTGAAAAATCTTTAATGAACCGCCTATAAAACCCTGCATGACCAAGAAAACTCCTCACACCTTTGACATTGACAGGTGGAGGAAGTTTCTCTATCATAGAGATTTTTGCCTTATCTACTTCTATTCCTCTCCTAGACACCTTGTGTCCAAGAACAATTCCTTCAGTCACCATGAAGTGACATTTTTCCCAGTTCAAAACCAGATTACAATCTTGATATCTTTTTAAAACAAAATCCAAATTTTCCAGACATGCATCAAAATCAGAACCAAATACAGAAAAATCATCCATGAAGATTTCTATATATTTCTCTACCATATCAGAAAAAATGGATAGCATGCACCTTTGAAAAGTGGCAGGAGCATTGCATAAGCCGAAGGGCATCCTCCGGTATGAGAAAATTCCATATGGGCATATAAATGCGGTCTTCTCCTGATCCTCTGGAGCCATGGCTATCTGATTGTAACCTGAATAGCCGTCCAAGAAACAATAGAAGGCATGTCCTGCCAACCTCTCCAACATCTGATCCAAGAACGGAAGGGGAAAATGGTCCTTCCTTGTTTCCTTGTTCAGTCTCTGATAGTCAATGCACATCCTCCAGCCAGTGATTGTCCTTGTGGGAATCAATTCATTCTGCTCATTCTTCACCACAGTCATTCCCCCTTTCTTGTGTACTGTTTGAACAAGACTCACCCAAGCATTGTCTGAGATAGGATAAATCATCCCAGCATCAAGTAGCTTCACAACCTCCTTCCCCACTACCTCTTTCATAGTGGGGTTGAGTCTCCTCTGTGGTTGCCTTACTGGTTTGACTTCCTCTTCCATCAAGATTTTGTGGGTGCAGAAAGAAGGATTGATATCCTTAAGATCTGAAAATTGCCATCCCATAGTTGTTTTATTCTTCTTGAGTACCTGGATCAACTTCATTTCTTCACTCTCAGATAACATTGCATTGATGATTGCTGGATATGTTTGATCATCCCCAAGGAACACATACTTCAGATTTGAAGGTAGTTCTTTAAGCTCTACCTTAGGTGCTCCCACAGGAATGTCATCTATCTTTTTATCAAGCTCTTCCACTACCGGTTCCTCTTGATAATTTTCTGTACTTGTCTCCTCAAGAAATCTATCTTCCTCCAATGAAAAGTCTTCTTCTCTATTCACTTCTTCCACCATCTCCTGTATGACATCACTACTAAAACAATCCTCCATATTAACAGGATGTTTGATGGCTTCAAAGACATCAATTGTAACTGTTTCTTCATCCACCCTTAGCATCAACTTTCCTTGTTCAACATCTATGAGGGATCTTGCAGTTGCTAAGAATGGTCTTCCTAGGAGTAAAGGACTTTCAGCATCCTCTTCCTCCATATCAAGTATCACAAAATACACAGGAAAAATAAACTTGTCCACCTTAACTAACACATCTTCTACTAATCCTTCTGGTCTTTTGATAGATCTATCTGCTAGATGCAGAATAACATTGGTATCCTTCAACTTATCTATCCCCAATGCCCTACACAAAGACAATGGCATCAAATTTATACTTGCCCCCAAATCACATAGTGCTTTACCAACTTCCACATCCCCAATTGCAATAGAAATGCTAAAGCTCCCTGGATCCTTCAACTTTGGAGGTAATTTCTTCTGAATCAGAGCACTACACTCCTCCGTCAAAGCCATCGTCTCACCATCCTTTAACTTCATCTTCTTATATAGAAGATCCTTCATAAATTTTGTATAATGAGGCATGTTCTCCAGGGCTTCAGCAAATGGTATGTTTATCTGCAATTTCTTGAAGATATCCAGAAATCTTGCATAATGCTGTTTCTGAATCTCTTGCTTCAATCTCTGAGGGTAAGGAACTTTGGCATATGGAGACAAAGTAACTGGCTGGTCCTGCTTGTCAGCCATCTTCTTCTTCTCCCACTTCATTGTCTTCTTGGGCACACCATCATTTTCAACTACCACCTCTTTTTCTTCCTTATCTTCCTTCACTGTTTCTTTTTCTTTATTTCCCTTCACCTTCTCTACTCCATCATCAGAGATTACATCTTCAACCACAACCTCTTCTTCATTCTTCTTATCTTCCACATTCTTTTTCACCTGTTGAAGCACCAGCCCACTTCTTGTCATGATTGCTTTGCAGTGCTCCTTAGGATTCACCATTGTATCACCACGAAACTTCCCCTGTGGTCTCTCAGATATCTGTCTTGATAGCTGACCAATCTGGGTCTCCAAATTCCTGATAGATGCTTCCTGATTTCGGAATGAAGTCTTGGTATCTTGCATGAATGCAGATGTTTCCTCTCTGAATGAATTAGACCCCTGAATGTAATCTTGAGTAGTCTTGGATAACTGAGCAAAGGCTTTTTCCCATGCAGCAGTATCACTTGGCTGTGATGAGTGTGTTGGAGGAGGATGCAGTGGAGGATTCAACTGATGGTTGGAACTATAACTAAACCCTGGGTGCTGATTCTTGTTCTTCCATGGTGGCACATACAAATTTTGCCCTGGTTGTTGTAATTCCTCTGGTTGTGATGGTCATAACACACTCCATTAACTTCTGCATGTTCTGGTGATCCCCCATAGTCACATTCCTCTGTCACATGGTCTTTGCCACAGATAGCACACACATAATTGGTATCCACAGAAGCAACCTTTTGTGAGGATAATTACTTAGTGAGAACATCCAACTGTTGTTGTTGCTGTTTCTGTGTTTGCATCAACTGGTCATTCTTTGCCAACAACGCATCATACCCATCCAGCTTAATGATCCCTGTCTTTCTGTCAGTCACTGGGGCATTATCAAATTCCTGAGATGCCAATGATTCAAAAATATCCAAAGCCTCTTGAGGAGTATTGGTGGTCAATGAACCACCAGCAGTGGCATTCACCAATGTCCTGGTGTTGGTTGTCAACCCTTGGAGGAATAGTGCTGCTTGATTCCACACTTCTATTCCATGTTGTGGACATTTCCTCAATAAAGTCTTGAATCTCTCCCAAGCCTCATAAATGGATTCTGATTCTTTTTGCTTGAAGCCTGTGATCTCATCCTTCAACTTTGCCCTCTTGGATGCTGAAAAGAATCTGGCCAAGAACTTGGTTTGCAGATCATCCCAAGTTGTTATACTCCCCTGAGGCAATGACTGCAACCATCTCCTTGCATCATCCTTCAGTGAATGAGTGAATAGTCTCAGCAGAATTGCATCCCTTGTGACACCATTAATTTTCACAGTATCACTCAACAACAGAAAATTTTCTATATGCAAGTAAGGGTCCTCTGCACTGGTTCCAGCAAACTGCTCCTTCTGCACTAACTGTACCAATGTAGGCTTCAATTCAAAGTTATTTGGCTCTACTGTAGGGCGCACAACACTACCAATCGGAGGAATCACTGCAGGAGTCATGTAATCTCCCAGTGTCCTCTGTGGTGGTTGCACATGATTTTCTGCCATAATTTCTACTTGGTTGACAGCACTGGATTCACCATTTTCTTGAAACTGTCTTCTTTGTCTTGTTGTCCTTCTTTTCTTCCTCAAATTCTTTTCTAATTCTGGATCATACAACAAGAAGTTTGGATTAATAATACCTCGCATACACCAGAATAAAATGCTGAAAATTTAACACAAAATAAAATGTTGAAAATAAAAGGATTCAATCTCAGATTTCTATGGTATCAATCAATGTTGAAAAACAAATCCCCGGCAACGGTGCCAAAAACTTGTTGCGTATCTAGCAAGTGTACAAGTCGTACAAGTAATAAAATGATGAGTAAAGATCGTTCCCACAGAGATTTGTATTCAAACACCAATTAACCATAGAAAACTAATTTGAATCAAACAAAAGTTTGTAAAAATCATGAGTGTTTTGTCACCAGAAAATTGATTTGAAGTAACATAATATAATGCTAAAATCTGAATTAATATTTAATAAAAACAAGTAGTCAGAAAACAACTTCCCTCAACAATAAACTCATGTAAAAACTGATCATATGATGAATTCTTTTTCATGTGATGTTAATCAACCTTTTACTTATCATCAAGATGTAATCCCTTACTACCCTGATAGATACATTAATCAGAAACATCAATCCCTTGGTGATTCATTTCTTAATTTATACATTAAACACTTAAAGTCTTAAGATTACATCAGAACTCTAGCATCAATCCCTTGAGTACTAGAATCCTGATGATGAGATTGCCAAATATAGGAGTAGAAAGAATTGAATAAGAAAATCTCATATCAACACATGAAAAATACTTCATCATATTAATCAAACATACATAAGATTATCATTAAGTTTCATTGATTCAGACTACAATGACTCTACTCAGACATAACTAAAGAATACACAAGAGAAGAAAGATCAAACTCCATTTCCATTCAGTGAATCTTCAATCTCCAAGTATAATTACATAAGAAACTAACTAATACAAGAACTAAGTCCTAAAGAAATTTAGAGAGAAGTCAGATCAGAGAATCTGATGTAAGAGAGAGAGAGAGAGACAGAATCCAGATTTTTGAACAAGTTAAGGCCCTTGCCTTATATAGTTTTACAAATTCAAACAGAAAAACTAGCATGGGCGCTAAAACGTTCATGAGTGAGCGTTTTAGCGTCCATGCTTGACGGATGCCCAACTGCTTCAAACTGACTCCAGCGCTAAAACACTTGGTTTAGACGTTTTAGCGTTGGAGACCAGAGTCTTTTTCCAACAGCAGGGCGCTAAAACGCTTGATCAGGAAGTTTTAGCGCCCAAGACCAGCAACTTTTTGTCCTCGGATTGCAGCAGCGCGCTAAAAAGTTCTGTGTGGACGTTTTAGCGCTCAGCACCAGCAAGTTTTGGCTTCTTTCTGCAGCAGGGCGCTAAAACGTTCTGGATAAACGTTTTAGCGCTCAACACTTAGAATTTTCTCTTCTTCAGAATCTTCTTCCTTCTCCCAGCTGCCTTTTAATCTTGCTTTTCCTATAAGAACAATACAAATTTTCAATAAAACTTCTTGAACTTGTAGTTGAGGACATTCTAGGATATTAACCTCTTTTTCCATCATTTAATCACACAAATTGATACTAATTCATGCTGAAAAACCTGATGAACTAAGGGTTTATCAACAACATCAAAAAAAAAAATTCAAAATAATAAGTGAAACTAGATGTTGGGTCCAATTCACACTAAAAATTGCCAAATCCGAAAATAGGATCTAACATATCGAAACACTAAGCCCATGTAAGTATGCAAACAATGAAACCGATTCATTAATACATCAACGCAATACCGCAATAAGGCTTGCACATACAGTACCGTATAAACATTGTCAATTACAAAATCCAATTTAGTTAGCTAATTAATACCCCAAAAATAGCATTTAAGTTTATTCAAATATGAAATAATACGGAAACCAAGGGCAAAACATTAGTACTTTATGCTCACATATACAAAGCATTAGCAAGTAGCAATTAATGTGTGAGCAGTATAACTGTACAAAGTCAATAATAGTATAACAATAATACTCTCGTCAAAGCGAAATCAGAAATTAATTCACTAATAAAGCCACAATTAGGCATAATTTCATATATCCAAATTCTTGCAACAGTAAATGCACAAAACTTTAATAATTGTTTCCCAAAAAATTGAAATTTTCTAAAAATGAAAATTTCCACAAAAAAACAAAAATAACTCACACCATAGTGTTAGCAAATTCATTGAAACTAAAACTTCACGTTTACATAACAATTTTGTTGAAACCAAAACAATTTACCAAACAAGAACACTGAATCAGAATTCAAACCATGAACAGTGTCATGACACTAAACAAAATTAAAATAATTTTTCAGTAATTTATATTCTCAAAATTTGGGCATATATATATTTTTACATAATAAATATAAAACAAAACATAATAATTCCATAAAAATATATAATGTACCGAAAAATTGCAAACAATATATCAAAAATTCACAAATATTATAATAATAATTTTGTTGAAATTTGGTGATTCTTTGATTAAAGGAAAACACACACAAAATAATTTCATAAAAATATATAATGCAGCGAAAAAATTGCAACGAATATATCAACAACCCACTAATATTCCAAGGGTAATGTTACTAAAATTTTGTGAATTTTGATATAAAATTGAGTACACATTCTTCCTCACTCTCTTCACACCATGAGTGGAACTCTGCCAATATTCCATATCATTTTGTGAATTTTTATTTAACGTAAAGGGAACAGTGACCACAAAGATTTTAACTTGTAAACCAAAACATCGTAACAATAAAAAAATGGTAACAATAATAAAATCTGCTTGGATCGTATATTGGATAAATACCACATAAAGGGTATTCAACAATTCGACAATTCGACAATTCAAATCTATATATGAATAATCTACTTTCATTTTGAAAATATACACGACAATCGAGAATTTGTATCAATTGTAAACAACTAAACATACACTACAATTCAAATGTTTAAGAAACGTATACGACAATTGACGACAATAGAAAACAATTGAAAACATATTTCAATTGGAAAAGCATATATGGAGGACGGCATTTAAGAAGGCATATTTCAAATTCAATCTAGAAGATAATGGCACGACATTCACCTTTGCAGAGGGCATTCACTAATTGACATAGCAAATAGCATTTTGTGCAATGATTTAAATCAATTTTATAAAACATGTAATATACGATGATTAAACAAACATTATCCAAGAAAATTGAGGCAAGTAAAATTGATACCGATCCAAACGAAAAGAGACAGTTTATTCGACAACACGGATATAAAAAATAATAATAATAATAAAAAATTGCCTTGAAATCAGAATAAACTGTGAGTTTTATAATCATACATGTCAAGCTCTGATAGCAAATGTAAAATTTAAAATTTCAGGATCATGTATATGATTATAAAATATCCAAATAATATGAAATCAAAATATGAGATTGTGCGTATCTTGTTGGATTATCACAAAGTCAGAGGAAATGGTGACTACGTGCTAGGATTTTCCTCTCTATGACCTATTCCAAAAGTGGCAGCCTCAGCGATGGGAGCAGGACGGTTCATGAGGCTTAACCCCAATATAAATAGGCTAGAGAGCGGACCTAGCCAAATATCCTAAAAGGAGTGTGTCTACTGGGTCCATCCATCACGGAAAACCAA